TTTTACGATTCACAATATTGGCACCCTATTATGAAAATGCTTTTCCCAATGCCTCTATCCAGCATCACAACCAGTTTTTCTATAGGAAGGGTGTCAATGGGAACTGTGGTGGTTGCCATGGCTACAGCTATTGGCAAGTAAGGACAGTTGTTTGGGAAACAATCGCCAAGAAATTGAGTAGCCAGGCCCTGATTAGTGATATTGTCACAAAATTGCCCAAGTGCTGGCCAAAGCAGTCCTTTTCCCCAAATGATTGCACCACTGTAAAGCACTCAGTTATATCAAAGTGCAATTTATTTATCCCAACAAGAAAAATACAAAAAGATTTACAAAACAAAAACAGCTCTTACAACAGAGACAAAAAAAAATCCCCAAAAGATCCAGCATACATACTCTGACACCCTTAATCCTTTACTCCCGAACATCCAACTGAACTAAAGTTCTAGGCTAAGGAGCAGCTTATATCGTTTGTAAACCCCTTCCCCCTGGAATCAGCCATTGTCCTAATGATCTTTTTTACACACAATGTTTCACAATTCATTCGGTCTGGTCATAATAATTTCCAAACCAAAAGAAGTAAAAAGATGTATCCAAAAATAACATTTTACCGCTTCCCTTTTAGGCCTTCCCCAAGTAAAAGTAAAAAAGGAATCTTCCCATTGAAACCTGCCTGTGTTTTTTCCTTTACACGCTATAAATATGCCTTTAGAACTAGGGGTTAGGTTTGGACCTTTGGAGCCACCATAGGCGGACATCATGACAGAACCAGAAAGTCTCAAACAGCAAACAAACAAACCGTAAGTACCACACAAAATGATAGTGCTCTCTATTCACACGGTCGCAACAAAAATGGACAATACACTCAACATGTATGCTTATATGGTAATGTATCTGGATGCCACTACTGTATGCCTCAAGTTAACAGTCAGTTTTTGTATTAGCTGTGTTACATTAATCTAATCACAAGCTAAAGTGTAATTATGACCATTTCTATGCAGTAATTGGATACCGAGAATCCTTTTACAAATCAAGCTTTTCAACCATATTGAGCCTTCCAATTAGGCCTGCAAAACATATTCTTTATAATAAATGAAAATGCAATATGTGCTGTTTAAAAAGTGCTACATTTGTAGCAGTGTTTTAATTAAACAGTATTTCACTCAAAACAGATATACTGTAGAAAACCCGGAATTCTTTAAGCTACCAAAGTAGCAAAGTCAAGTACCAGCTCAAAACTCCTTCAGTTCAGAAATTTGCATTTTCTGCTTAATAACCCCCCCAAAAAAAAACATAAGTAGTGGTTATCTAATTATTTTGTTCTTTTGAAGGATTTTGTGGTACAGAAACTTTAATTACACAAATCTCCGAAAATTAAAATATCATAAACAGAATCTCTCAGATGTAAAGCTCAATTATCATTTCCATTGACATACTTTTTCTTTGAAAAGGCTGCTTATAAAACTACTACATACAGTAAAATAACATGTACTATTCTAGGTATTAATAGAGCTGTTAATAACGTATTTAAACACGTTTGAGTAGTTGTATTACTCTAACCTCATAATTGAACCTTGGCCATGTGTTATTAAAATCTATGAAAGCAGGGCTATTATGCAAGAAGCCAGGCCGCCTCATAAAAAAAGATAAAAAAGGAGACAGAAATGAGGGACAGCTCGTATAGAAGAAAGGTCCACTAAATTAACACAGGTTTGCATTACAGACCTGGCATTACTAGCAATTAGTCTGACATTTAATAAAACACCTTTCTCAGAACTGCTAAGACACTGTCATTCGGAAAGTAGCCTCAGCCATGCCCAAGCTCAGGCATCTCTGCTCGCTGGTGCTTCTCACACTGAAGATTTGTAGCATTCAGTGCAAAATGCTGGTCGGGTGGTTATTCTAAGCATTTTTTTTCCGCTAATGCTTACAAATCAGACGTTTAATGTATTTTACTTTAGAAAAAGTAAAAAAAAAGTGCTTTAAAAAGTAGAAATGTTAAATCCAGCGGTTAACTATATTTATGTTTCCTCATTGGTAGGACATACTGTATTGCTTAGAACTAAGAACAATACATCAGGGACCTCTTTAAAAAAAACCTTAATGTGGGTTGTATGCAAGTTTCTATGTTTTTCATAACATGGTTACATTCTTGATCCCATCATACACATAGCCCTACAATTAATCTTATTATCCACCCCCATAATATAAAAGCTTATTTACTTTAATATGAACACCTATCCTACCTCACAACCTGCACTGGGAATGTCAAATCTAGTCAACAAATATAACTTTCGCAGTACTGTTTCTGCTGACAATTGTATAAAGGAGTAGCATTCCTAGATCACTACCAGTTCTGGTATGTTTTTTACTGTTGTACTTGGATTCCACAAGGCTAAGCCATGTGTAGCCTGATCAAGGATAACAGCCAGACCAATGTAGCCTGACCAATGTACAACCAATTCTTTAATCTAGATGTTCATACAATACTGTATATTGTAATAGAAACAATTGGAAACCAATAAAAATAGTTATTTCCAAAGAAATCACATGACAAAGTAATGAGTCCTTAAAAGTAGCCCTCTGTTTCTTTGCTGCTCTGTTACTGTAGCACAATGATATACAATACAAACATAGTTCAATGGCATTGTTTCATGAAGTCTCATATGCTTGTAAGCCAGCAACAACAGCTCCTGCCAAAAAAAGAAAAGAGGAGCAAACCTTCTTATTTGTGTACTTTCACAGAAAGGTGAGAAAGGTGACACATGCAAATTGTCAAACCAAACTTTGAAATCAAACACTAGCAGATAAGCCTTAGGCTCAATTTAAGAATCTGAAGCTCCCTCCGTGAAAGCAGAGTTAACCGCTATCCACAACAAGATGCAACTAGAGTTTTCATATATTTCAAGTAGAATCATTTTCTTGAATTTATTTTAATGTGATTTACCAGTAGTTTGACACTCAGTTTCTATATTTTCTCTGAACATTAAATCGTTTTTTTCCTTTTTTTCTCCAAAGACTGTTGAGCACCTCACTCTTTCACAACCCTGCCAAAGACATGATTATGAATTAATTATGAGTAATACAGTTAGAATAAAAATTTTGAATTACTTGGATTCATAAAAGCAAGAGCAAAATCCTAGGCAAAAAGTAACTGTTTTCTTGTCATTACCCTACTAAGTATTCTCTTCTAAAGCGTTCTTTTCTTTATGAATCATATTGGCAAATATTTAAAGTCTGTTCAGCTGTCAACATCTATAATGGAGTTGATCTGCTCTGTGCATGAGCATCTTTCTGTGAATTAATCTGTCAACCTTATCCTTGGAAAAAAGTACACTTGCTACACACCACATAAAAAAGCAAATACAGCATAAACTAAATATACAGTATCAATTTTAATATTGATTGGTATTCTACAATTATTTAAAGCATCACAATTATCAGCATAAAAATTGTATTGATAAGGGTTTTCAGAATGGCATTAAAAATGTACATAAACCGGTTGGCAGCAGTGATTTTAAAGAAATGGATTAAATCAATGGATATATTACTTACAAGAGGTTTACAAAAATGAGTGCTGTATCCACTTATCTATTAAGAAAAAGGTGTTTTGGACACATACAGTAAATATGGCAGTGAAAGGTATCATGTGGTAATTTTTAAACAGTTTTTAGTTTGTCCTTGAAAAAAATCCTACTAAGTGTTCATATTCTTGTATAACACAACCAAACTCCTGACCAGACATACAGTTCCTTTACTTTGAGATCTCGATGAAAACAAATCTATTTTTAATCTACATTACGATTTGCTGCCCACTTCCTTAAAATGGATAGATAATGACACATAACACTTTCATTTGCAATCAATCCCTGGTATTTTTTGAAATTTTAATTTGACAATATTTAAAATATTTGATTTATTGATGGAAATTTGCCAATGTACTTCTAGCCTGCATGCCAATTGTACAGTTGATGAAATGTATACATCTACTAATCATTTCTAAAATTGCCAAAGTACCTGCCAATGCAATGAAAAGGAGTCATTTTACATTAGGCATGTAGGTGTATACAATATAGACCCATGGCTTCAGTCTATGTACAGTATCTAAGATTGTCTATCCACTAAAAAAAAGTAAGGTCTTCTCCCCTAAAAATACATGAGATGATTAGTTTATTCAAGTGTCTATGTAGAAAATGTTAATTAGGAAACCATTACAATGTTATATTGATCCATCCACTTTCTAACAGCTTTATCTAATACAGGGTCACAGAGGTGCCAAAACATGTCACTGCAGGTGTAGCGGAGCTAGTTCGGATACAGTGATGTAGCAGGGACCTCAGCTGCCAGGGCTGGGAGAGGTCTCTTTAGCTCATGCGGCTGACCTGGGTTTGCGCCCCAAGTGTTGTGGGATGAAACGGATGGCAGAGGGCATGATCCCACGTGGAACCGCAACAGTCACAAGGCAGGGTAAACCCTTGACAGCACTCCAATCTATCACAGGCTATTAACACCAACACAAGGATACTGTGGTTTCTGTCAGTACTTATCCAGTATTTTGGCAAAATTTAAACTGGCTATATTCCATGCAAACAGAAGATTGCAAAGATTTCTTATCCGTTTTTTTTTTTATTCAGTGTAGCTAGTCAAGGCTTGCATAAAAGTTCTGGTTTCAATATTGCTTGGATTCAAGGGCAAGGTGAGATTCTGACAGCTTTAGGTACTTAAATAATTACTAGCTTAATTTGCTATCATTTTAGTCCATTTTCAGCTGTATTGTATTATTGATTATGTTGTAAATTGTCTTTTTATGCAGATGACTAGAGACTCACAAAACACCAATAAAAGGAAATAAGTCAGTTATATCTTTTTCTCATTATAATTATTTATATTATACAACAACACATGCTTGTCACAGTTACACGGAGTCTCAAATGCATTTCTTTAGATATCAACATTTTCAAATTGTGGGCACCTTTTTTACACACATAGACAGAGGAACTTACCTAAACAAATTGTGGGCAAATTATCATCATCTGGGTGAAGTTTGTTTTCTGCAAGCTGAACAGGTCTTTTATATAAATTGCTGAAAAAATGGAAATACAGTACAAACTGATAATGTACATTTTGTAAATGTTCTTGTTTTAATTGAAACCATTTATCTGCACTACAGTGCTGTGCAAAAACCTTACACATCTTAAACACAATCAACTTAAAATATGTTCTAAGCAACAATGATTTAAAGTCCCACTAATTATTCAACTATTATACCAAATTTGGTCTGTTATTAATACATCTTATTTTGGGTGTGAAGAAACCAATTCAATATAGCAATCATCAATTCATCTTAATCAAGATCTTCACACACTTCAACCCAGCTGTTTAAGGCAAACTGAAGATCACCAGACAATATAATATGTTGTACAAGATAAACCATTCCATTTACCATTTAGATTTAAATTAAATGAGTGGGAGGTGGTCATCATTAAAAATTTGTTCTACTCTACAAATTAATATAGTTAAAAGGTGTACATCACAATACAGATCAATATTATCTTGAAACAAAATGGTTAAAATTTAAGTTAAGATACATTTTTATCAGCCAAGATCACAGAACTATGGGTATTTATAAGTAGGAAAAAAAACAAATGAGTAGAGCAATGAGAAATGACTTTTGCAGAGCGGTACAGTATGTATTACAAGGTAATTACATTAAATAACACTGAATGCAAGAGGTCATTAATTTTAAGAAGTAAATCCACACACAAGTACTTGGGAAGTCCTTGGCCCAGGATCATAGCAAGTAGTGTTTTAGAAGCAATTTAGAAACATTTTAATAAAATTCTTTATATTTATTACCTGGTTTGACTTCTACCTTTTTCCATTTTCAGACTCACATTCTTAACCATCAGCAAAATATCATTTACATGAACACTTCCTACAAAAAAAAACAATTAGTAAATCAAAATGCAAAAAAAACCAAGTTATAAAAAATTCCACCATGAATTAAACATCACATTTTATGATCAACCTTACTTTTGTGTGTTGAATAAGATATTAGAAATCAGTGTAATTTACACAAGAGTTTGACAACGTGCTTAAAGATGGTAAAGTATGAGAACAGATCTTTAAACAAAATGCCACCGATACAAATACTTTTTTTTTACCACAGAGAGTAAAAGGAATTTACTCTCCTATGGCAAACCATAATTTCATTTAGTATTACACTTGAACACAGTGATAACATTATACTACATATATGAACATATTGTATATGCCCACAGGCTATGAACCAACAGAATAATTTTAGCTCTGGCACAGGAAAACTCATTTCATGGTGGGATATAAACTGTTACTGAAACAGCTGGTAACTGCCTTAATGGATCTGCAGCATCTACAGGATGGGTCTAACTGAAAATCATGGCAGAAGGGATGAAAATGGTTAGCAACACGATTTAGTCATCCTGGAGGAATATAGTGTTTACAGTCTAGTGAGGGAAGGCGGGTAGAACCTATGATCTTGTAAATAAAACCGACATCACTTTGTGAAAAGTCTTTAAACTTCACTCCCAATACTTGTTCAGCACTACTGTGCCATGTTAACACACCTTCAACCTTTTCAGCTGGTTATGGAAAGTGATTTGCTGTTGTGCTTTCTTCACAATGGTTTTTACATTGCCATCTCCCATGTAATGATTGTTCTGACAAACTTGGGGAATCTTGACACAATGACAATTTATGATTGAAGGTCAAATCAAGGTGCTCCGTTTCTCATTGTGAATGATAACTTTGATTTGTCCACAGTGAGCTCCACTTAATCCAAACACCAGTTTGTAAATGTCCCCTCCGTACATACTGCAGCACTCACATTCACTGGCACTTTTGATTAGTCCCACAAAGCGTCATCAACATCTTTACTGTCTCCTGAGTAGAAACAGGAATTTGTATGCAGAGATTAAAAAAAAAAGTGGAGAAAGTACGGTGGACTTTCAGTAGTTTGTTCCCGGCTTCTCTTCTTCCTTGTTAGCAATCGTTATGCCAAAAAAATAAAATAAAGACTGTGTGCAGGGCTCAAGCTGGTGATATCCCTGTGCTGTTGCAGGAAGTCGTTGTAAAAATGTTACAAAAAACGCAAATCCTTAACCGATGGGCAGGTGAAAGTTAAAAAACCAGGCTGGGACAGTTCAATCGAGACAAATCCATATCGTAAAGGCAGAAACTAGCGAGAGTCCAGGAAGCAACGATGCGATCAAAACTGTAAGAATGGTGCACACAAGGAAGCTCCAAAGAAAATCCGAATTAACGAGCAACAGTAAGGGAAAAGAGGAGGGTTAAAGTAGTAACAGGAGTGAAAGGTGATAGGAAGATTGGTCACGGCGTGAGCATCTAAGTGGGTGCGGGTGGGAATGTTGAAGGCGTTTGTTAGAGCGTGATCATGTGAGTGCGGAATGCATAACATTCCTTTTCTCTCTCTGTGCTCTTAATGTGATCTTATATTGTGTGTTTCTGTACTGCTCATTGATGATCATTAACCCACAATCTACCTTGGTACACCAAGGTAAATGTTACAATTGTTGTTGCTGAAGGGACCCCCCAGACCTCAGCAAACATCCTCTCTGCTTTGAAGCTAGAAGTGTTTATTCTTCCAAGTGTCACAAACTTTATCTAAAATCTAAGATACTGTAACGCTATGGGGTTCACGTGGGCGCCCTCGCCGCTGCCGCATCAGGTCGGCCCCCCACCGTCTGGGACTCGAACCCGGGCCTCCAGCATCACTCAACAGCGACTCAGCCACTTGAGCCAAAGGGAAATCTCCCATTAGCCCGGCGGCTGCAGTCCCTGCTATTCACAGGAAAGGGCGGTGACGTCACCACGCTGGTAAGCTGTCTTTCACAAGCAATGGAGGCCATATGCGTTACAATACACTTCGCAGTTACCTAAAGCTGTAACAATATACTGTATATATTGCACTATGGCTTTATTTAATATAAATTCATATAAAATCAGACATATTTTTTGTTAATATCTGTTCAACCCAATTTGTGCATTTAACTATTGTACTTTAGGTCTCCACCCTTTAGAATAAAGCTCCAATGAAATCATCTCCTAAATTAGATATAATACCATCTCTGAATGTTCCCAAACAGAGGTCAATATTTGTACAGTAGCATTGTAATTTCACTAGTATCATAACAAAATATGGCTATCTTGTGCCGTGCATTGTTTACCAGTCAATTCCAAGATATGACACACCATGCTGAAAAATCAAAAATATGTTTACAAATTGATTTTTAAAGTTTTCTGCTCCACAGTAAGATTCTTTCTGATTTCTATTGAAATAATTACAAATCTTTTCCAGCGGAATACATGGTACTGTAGATTTTTTCAGTTTAATTTTTATTTACTTCAGCTTCTATTTGGAGATTGATCCAGATTAGATCTCCTCTGCTTTTTCAAAAAGTGACTAAAGTCCTCAAGTTATTGCTTGAGTCTGAAGTTAAGCAATTATTGTCTCTGGCTTTTATGAAGAAAGACAATTACAGAAAATTTAATGATAATATCCTACCTTCTGGTTGACTGGGCAAAGACAACAGACTTTGAGGTGTATGACTTGTGTCGCTGCTCTCACAGACAGCCATAGACATTTCAGATCTCTGTTGTAGTTGAACACTGTGAGTTTCTGAAGAATTGTATAATTCTTCCATAGATATCTTACTCATAAAAGAATGGTCATCAGATACATGATTCCTTGTTTTTCTCCTCAGTGTTGGAGCACTTTTGATGAGTTTTGGTGATGCATTATTAGAGATCCTTATATGCTCCGCAGATACTGGTCCACAAAAATCCTGTTAAAAACAAATCTGAATAGACATCTGATTTGCAAAAGCCAAGCAGAGAAAATGAATCCAATGCAAAATGAAAGCATAGCTCCCTTCTCTACGAGTATTTTCTTCTTTCAAGTGTTCATAGATAACGAGAATAAGGATACATGACATACAACATTTTAAATAATTAAAAGTGATTTTAACATTGCACATTTTAATAACCCTCTTATCATCAAATGTTCTTCCCAAATTCCTGTTTTCAGGCGAATTTGTCAGGGATGCCCACTTTATCTTTTTTTTGTTCATCTTGTAACCTCTACCTTAGACTTGTTGTCAATCTCCTACTTCAACCCCTACTGCCAATAATAATACACATTATTGCATTGAATACCGTATTATGGAGGTTCCAAATTATTAAATGTAGAGAATATCTCTTTTTGTTTCCCTGATTTGCTATTTTTGATGATTTTGGTACTTTGGGAAGGATTTATATTAATTGGTAAATAATATCACCAATATCATCAATAATAATATTAATTTAACTCCATGACTGCTGTTAAAGTCTGCAGTAGAGGAAGCCTCTTCCCTTCCTATTGAAATCTACTCTGCTTTACATGCCAGTACAGTAAAAAGCTTTAAGAACTTTTTAAATAGGTAGATTTTTACTAAAATTGACTGATTTTCTCAGTTGTCTTCATGGTTATGTCTCCATAATACTAAATGGATCTGCTTGGCTTGATAGTCCCACGGTTCCATTTCTCTTCCCCCTTAGACTATTCGATGGCAACATATAATAAAAGCATAAGAGCCCTCACTGAAAGATTGAGCAGAAGCCTGGCTTCTTGCAGATCTCACCATGTAAACTTTATACTGGGGTATCTATAACATTATAAATTGTTTCAGACCCATAATTACTTATTTAAGATTTGCTGTTTACTAGAAAGACTTGCAAAAAAACCAAAGAGATGGCGTATCTATTCTATTTCCGATAATCACATTTTTACAAACAATTTTACTTTATCTTTTAAGTATTACAGCAACAATTCACTCTACATACTTGTGGAATATTCCCCGTTAACACTTGGCTCTGTTTCTGGATGATGACGCTATGCTGGATCTTTCAAAGTGGAATGAAAAGATCTGGCAGCTACTGTATGATTGCAGTTACAATTTTTTTGGCATTGTGTTTGGAGCACCACGTTCACTCTACTGGCATAATTGGATCCTGGCCTGCCTTGCTACTATTTATATGGAACTTTCTACTGCTGAGGATGGTGAAAGTTTGGAGTTCTGTTGCTAATGCACAGAGGGGTGTGCTAAGGGGTTTCGTTGTAGCTGTTTGGCTGCATTTGTGGAATCCCATGTATAGTATTTAGGAACTGAGAGGAGCTTCAATGAGGGGAAATGGGTAAGTGGTTGGTTTGTATGTAGTAAGATAAATATTTTGTTTGTTTTCATGTTGTAGCTCTATTTTGTTTGAAACATCAATAAATTATAAAGAATTGATCACAAGTAAAATCCACTTCTATTCAGTACTTTTACAACAATAGCTATGGCTAAACATTTATGTTAATTATGTGATTTATTTATTGTACTGTATATGCATGTACTGTATAAGGAAGAACAGTGTTCTAAAATGATTATAACAATATACATTATTATATTGATTTTAAATAACAATACAGTAACATAAAAATGTAATATTTTTTTCCTGAATATAAATAGTATACATTTTACAAAGAGGGTGTACTGTACAGACATTTGGACCAAACTAAACATTTAACCAGCTTATACATATAATAACGAAATATATATCTCTCTCATCCTAGCGTTAATCCTGCATCAGCAGGGTCTGCTTGTCGGCACGCCGCTCCATTTGGTGGTTTGAACCAAATCTTTGAGCTGACGTTGCCATTAAATGCGACCGATAATACTCCAACCGACGCGTCACTCTGCCTGCCATCGGCGTGGGGGGGAGGGGGAGGAGAACAAAGTAATGTAGCCAATTCATAGAGGGGGATTATTAGGAGGCATGGGGAATTTGGCCAGGACACCGGGGTTACACCCCTACTCTTTTCCAGAAACACCCTGGGATTTTTAATGACCACAGAGAGTCAGGACCTCGGTTTTACATCTCATCCGAAAGATGGCGCTTGTTTACAGTATAGTGCCCCCGTCACTACACTGGGGCATTAGGACCCACATGGACCGCAGGGTTAGCGCCCCCTGCTGGTCCCACTAACACCTCTTCCAGCAGGAACTTTAGTTTTTCCCAGGAGGTCTCCAATCCAGGTACTGACCAGGCTCACACCTGCTTATATAATAAAGGTTATATAATAACATAATATATTGTATGAAATAATTAATGTATCACTTTTTACTGCACAAATTACAAAATTATTATTAGTGAAATAAGAAATCTTTTTATAGCAGGTGCACTGGTATTTTATTGAACAGATGTGACATAGATAAACTAATTATTTGATTAATATTTGTCATCAACAGAGGGTCTACACTGTTGGAAGCCATTCAAGCTGTACATCTGAGATGCATATTTTGTACTAGGTTGCAGATGCTGTCTTGTGGGATTAAATCCCATTCCTCTCATTAAGTGTGGTAAATAATGAACCTTGCCTTTAGTTGTTTTTAATCCCTCTGGATGATAGCCAAGTGTAGGGGAAATCTGCCACATTAACCCCCGATTTTACCGTCCAGACTGAAGTTGTTGTTCACCTATACTGGTGGTGTCCAGACTGAAGTTGCTGTCTAAACCAGATTTTGACTTTACATCAGTCCGCAACTGCACACCTAGTTAACAATGAAGTTCCATGCTTTAGAAAGACAGTGAAAACAACCTTGACACGGTCAATTCTTTTTGACCGGACTCGTTCCTTATCCGTCTTCCTACTTGTTACTTTTGTGACAGCCTCCCCTGTTCTGAGTTACCCTATCCATCTGTGTCTAAGACCCCCTACTCCTAGACTTTTCACTAACCTGGTGGCCATTAACCTTCCACTACTATGAGTGTCTTGCCATGAAACTGAGCATTTCCTGAATCTCCCTGTGTAAACGGATGCCTCAACGGATACCTTGTACCATGAGATGCAGCCTCTCACTGTCCCCCTGACAGTGAGGCTCTTATCCACTCTCCCTTACTTACATATCTGCTGATGAGGATACAGTTATCCGGTATCTCACTACGAGACACAGTCTCTCACTGTGCCAGTGAGGTCTAGCTCCCCATGAGCTGACTTCAGGAGCCTCCCCAAAGACTCTGTTACTCACTGCCCAAACCAACCAGTGAGGGACCGACTTCCTCAAGTCAACCCATATTGCTTACTTACTGAACCTTTATATGGGATCCAGGCTTCACCCAGGTGAGCCCAGTTCTCTAGTAATCTATTGTGTTTTTTCCACTGCATATGGAGTGTCTCACCAGTGCCTTATGGTGATGAAAACTCACCTCAATTGACACTCCATATCCAGTTGCCCTCTTACAATGCCACATGTCATCACAAGCTAATTCTAAGAGTCTTGAATGGGACTCAAGTCTGGTGATGAGGCTGCACAACAGCACAACTGGTACTGTACATTCTCAAGACTGTTGTGAGGACTGTTGTGAGGTTGTGTGCATTGGTCTGCAGGAATATTGGATGAATCCACATGATGGATAATAAGTGCAATCAAGTTGCCATCAATCACTTGTTGTGACTTGGTGTTTCACATACAGCAGGAGTACAAAATGTTCACAAAGTTGGAATATAATGATGTGCCAGTCTTTGTGACGTATTGTTATTTGTGGCTGATCGTTTATGAACTGTTTGGTTATAGAAATTTGGTTTTCGAAATTGCTGGTTATGAATACACAAGTTTTTAAGGACGATGAGCTGACTTAGTCCAGACACAATTGTACAGATAGTGCGAATGGACTTTGGTTTGATACTGTAAGTGAGATATGCATACAGAGGGCATAAGACAAACTGGCCATGTGTATGACCTACTCGGATTCTCATGCAGTTCTGCCATATGTTGTAAATTCATAAAACACTACTTGCTTGTACAGAGAACTTTTTTACGTAAGATAATCTGCAGTATGTGTCTTTATGTTTGGTAGACAGAGAGAATAAAAACATTCTTGTATGCTGATGGATTGTGCTATTTTTAAAATAAACTGTTGCTTTCACACAAAATTGCCTTGATTGCCTAGGGATACAGCAAGCTCCCAGAACCACGAGTTGCAATGTAATGGCAACACCCTTCATGTGTGCATACACACACTCAGAGTTTGGAAGACAGCAATCAGCCTATTGGGTATCTCTTTAGAAAATGGTAGGGTGCTAAAGCATCCCACAAAAAAAAAACAATTCCCAGAGGACAATGTGAAGACCCCACTTAGAAAGTGCCTCAGTTAAGAACTGAACCCAGATATCTAGATTCAGAAACCCAGAGTGCTAATCCCTCCACTAGTATATTGTCCAAATAAATCTTGTGTAATTCAATACGGGGGGGTTCCCTGTTATACTGTATATACAGTATTTCAGAGCTCTTACATCATTGATATATTGAGAACTTGATATGAAAATTTCCTGCACTTAACTCATTATTATATTTTTTCTTTTCATTTGTGCAAAAATGATTTCCAGGTTTATTGCAGGTGCTGAATGTAAGAAGTACAGCAGCATTAACAATTGAGCATGATCTGTCCACATCTAAAGGAAAGTTAATTTAAACAAGTGGTTTGGGCTGTTTTTTGGCTATTAAGTTGTACACCTACACATGTGTGCACATCATGCATTCACATGATAATGATTGTCAAAATGTACACCACATAAAAAAAATATATATGTATATGTAAAAAAGTATATGTGATTGAAATGTTACTAAAAATGCTCAAAATGATTGGTTTTAGGATAAAAGTGAGAGTAAAACTGATTTAAAAATGTTACTGTATTTCTACTTGTACTGCATTGCAGTCCTGTGTTGTATTTGGGTATAGTAGGTAAGAGAAATACACATTCAGT